GATCTGGCCTTAAACCTGGATCTTCAGGAGCACCTTTGCAGGATTAAGCCGAAACCTTCCGGACTGACACTGCAACTTATCTTGATTACTGTAATGTGCTTGATGTGGGGCAGCCCTTGATGATGGTTTGTAAGGCTTCTCACACAGCAGCCAGGCTTTTCACAGGGGTGGGATACAGTGGTGTTGCAATGGGGGGCATGGGGGGTGGTACGCCCTGGGTTCCATGTTTGTGGGGGTGATAAGAAGTCACCCTGCAGGGGCTCGTGGCAGCGAGAGCAGCCATCGCGCCGCCATCGCCACCTTTGGAGGATCCTCTGTTCGCGGCTGTAGCCGTGAGCAGAGGATCCCAGTGCCGACTGCAATCCGCTAAGTACAGCGCATGTGCAGTGTTGCACACATGCGCTGTATATAGCGCCACCGCACATGCACTGTATAGCAGTTTGCTTCAGCACCATACCAGGAGGGTGCCAGGATCCCTCCATCGCTACTGCAGCCACGAACGCTGGAGTGGCACTGGTGGCAAACCGCTATACAGCGCATGTGCAGTGTCGCTATGTACGGCGCATGTGCTGTATGTAGCGATGCCACACATGCGCTCTACGTCATGACGCCTGCCCCAGGTGTCATGACGCCTTCCTTCGCCCCTGGTGGGATATAGGGCTCATATTATCCCTTTTTGTACCAACTGCACTGGCTGCCTTTTCATTTTGAGTGCAATTTGAAGTGCTAGTTTTGATCTATAAAACCAATTATTTGTTCCCCAAAGGCTCTCCAGTCCCTCCAGTGGCTGCATGCCAGGGGGTAGATGTGGCCCATAAGTGGGCATGGCCAACACACAGCCGGCATGCACATGAATACACTCCCATGACATACACACAGGAGAACACACTCACAATTATATACATATCAATCCCTATAGTGGTGCTGAGATGGGAGGAGAGGTTTTGACTTCCCACCACCCCACCACCAGGATCAAGACAAACCTTGTTGCCTTTGCACACACACCAGATGATAGCTGGAGAATCTCAGTTCCAGTTTCAGCACATCAAGCTTTCTGCTTATCTTTGCACCACAACTGGGTGGAACATGCAGAAGACCAGCAGGGAATGGCAGGGGACAAAAGTAGTAGGTGGCAGATGAGGGGTGTGTGTCTTGTGGGAAACTTTTCTGGGGGACAGATAGTGTGTGCCCATCTGCCTGTGTGAAGTTGTGTCCAGAAGTGCTGTTTTGCTCCTGTTATTGTGGGGGCTAACGTCTGGCGTCAGGCACCACATCGTGGGACGCACAGATGTAGCGTGCATGATGTCGTTGCTCGATACTGAGGGGCTCCAGCTCCATCCTTAAGAACTTGGAGGGGTGGCAAAGTGCCTCGGGCCCCCCTAGCTGGCGCACCTGGTTGTGGCCATTCCAACAGCTTGTGGGTGCTAATGCCATAGCTTAACTTTAGAATTCTAGCATTGGAAGAGACCTTGAGGATCATCTAGTCCAACGTGATGCAATGCAGGAACATGAAGATGTCCCATATGGGGATCGAACCTGCAACCTTGGCGTTATCAGCACCATGCTCTTACCAACTGAGCTATCCCAGTCCACATTCTGCTGTGTGAAGAAGTACTTCTTTTCCCCCCCTCTCCTGAATCTCTCCAGCTTCTTTGGATGACCCTACTGGGTTCTAGTACAGTGGTACCTCGGGTTAAGTACTTAATGCGTTCCGGAGGTCCGTTCTTAACCTGAAACTGTTCTTAACCTGAAGCACCACTTTATCTAATGGGGACTCCTGCTGCCGCCGTGCCGCAGGTGCACGATTTCTGTTCTCATCCTGAAGCAAAGTTCTTAACCCGCTCGGTGCCTGCTCCTGCCAACCTAGCAGTTCGAAAGCTCGTCAGAGTGCAAGTAGATCAATAGGTACCGCTCTGGCGGGAAGGTAAATGGCATTTCCATGCACTGCGCTGGTTCTCCAGAAGCGGCTTAGTCATGCTGGCCACATGACCCGGAAGCTGTACGCCGGCTCCCTCGGCCAGTAAAGCGAGATGAACGCCGCAACCCCAGAGTCGGCCACGACTGGGCCTAATGGTCAGGGGTCTCTTTACCTTTACCTACTCTTTCTGGGTTAGTGGAGTCTGTAACCTGAAACTTATATAACCTGAAGCATATGTAACCTGAGGTACCACTGTATTTGAGATAGGGAGAAATAATGGCCTCTCTTCCCTTCACCTGTTCCCTGCATTATTTTGTCTGCCTGTTTATCGCTGTCTGGGAGCAGAAATGAAAGAGCTGGTTTTCATTAACTGGCCGTTTCATTTCATTTGCTGGCCATCGGCAGCTTTCTTTAAAAAAACCCAAACCAAACCAGGATCTCTTTTCTTTCGGCAGTTGGACTTTTGCCGCCTGCCTTTTGCCAAATGCCACTGATGACTAAGCTTGCAAGTTTGCACATTAGCAGACTCACTTTTAGAAGTCCCTGCTCGTGCATTCAGGTCACAGCACAACTCTTTGTCAAATGTGACCTACATCCCACCACACTAAAAACTGCATCCACTGAACAAGAAAAGTCCATCAGAGATAAAGGCCATATAATGGAAGGGGGGTGGGTGGGAAACCTGGCCTCAGAGAAGCCATTTGAATTATATATATATTTAAAAATCCCTCTGCAGTCTCCAACTCCTAGGACTGTATTTTATGCTTTTAGCAACCTGGGAGTTGCTACACTGTTCTTCCTTCCTTCTCTGATTTATAGAATCAGACTCTGCATGGGGAGAGTCTCCTCTATGACTCCTTTAGTTGTGGAGTTGTCCCATTTTCTGGAAGCAGCAACACTGGCTAAGAGTGGCTCGGACAACCCAGTCAGATGGGCAGGGTATAAATATATTATTATTATTATTAACATTCCTATTTTCATCGGGGAAATGCTTTAGAGTATGCAAGCCCAAATCCTTCCATCCACGGCATTTGTGCATTGGCGACAGCCCTTTGTAAAGTTCTGCTGCAGTACACTGTGGTGTAGTTGTTAAGAGTGGTGGACTCGTAATCTGGTGAACCGGGTTCGTGTCTCCGCTCCTCCACATGCAGCTGCTGGGTGACCTTGGGCCAGTCACACTTCTCTGAAGTCTCTCAGCCTCACTCACCTCACAGAGTGTTTGTTGTGGGGGAGGAAGGGAAAGGAGAATGTGAGCCGCTTTGAGACTCCTTAGGGTAGTGATAAAGCGGGATATCAAATCCAAACTCTTCTTCTCTATGTGCTTAGGAACTGTTTTGCTGTTCACTTTCTCTAAACTTGGTGGTGGAGGGACTGTGTGTGTGTGTGTGTGTTTCCAAACCGCAAGGAATCGACGGGCGTATAATCTTCTAGCTAGTTGCTTGTCAGCTCCCACATTTAAAAGATGTTTAGCTTTCTGTACCTTCCCAATCCTTCCAGCGATTGCACCTGCCTATAACCTCCTCAACTGCCGAGCGAGGATAAAATGACATCAGGATTGCTGAAACTACAGCAATCATAGAAGATGGTTTAAGAGCTCTGTTTCCGTGACTCCCATGACAATGTGGTCTGGCTACAGCCCGACTTGTGTGGTTCCACAAAGCTTGTCTCTTCAGAGTTCCTTACATGTTCCCTAACTTAATTACTTGTACAGACATAAAAGCATGATATAAAATTAATGTTGTGGGAAAGGATGCACAATTCTAAAATCTTCTTTATTACGATTTTGGGCTGCCCATTAACCCTAATTTAATTACACAAACATGGCCTCTACTGGTATCTTGAAGATAAGAAGCGGTATTGGGAGGTTGCAGGGCAGCGGGAGGGAGAGAAAGAAAAAGGGGGAGAAAGAAGCATGTTCATTTTCTATGACAAAGAAATGAAATTGGTACTCTGACTCCATCCCCCAGCCTGTTCCAGCTGATCTGGTGAAATACAATATTGCCCCAAGCATATCTTGATGAAAAACTGAAGTGACACCAAGAATATGTTGTGGGTTGTATATATCGGCGCACCCCCTTCTCCTTTTCTCAAATTCCTTAGAAAATTTAAAGCAAAAATTACAGGAGGAGTGAATTCACATCAGCTTAAAACCAGCCGCTGATACGCCTTCCAATCTTTGAGAATGAAGAACTCACATGTACAGGGAACAAGGGAGTTTGAAAGGGAAATAGCAAGTCGATTCAGTCCGGCTTCCCATTCCTGGATGCCAACAGCATTCACTCACTAGCCTCCTGTGCAGACAGTGTGTTACAGTGGTTGGAGTGCTTCCTGTGCTTAGGCAATACTTAGAAAGGACACTCGCAAACACACCTTTGCTGCTTCAGGAGCAAGGCAAAGAAAAAATCCACCAGGACAGTTTTTAAGCACAACACTAACTTCAACATCGGACTTGGGTCTGCCTTATAAGTTTGCAATTCAGGTCCAGCTCTATCATTAGGGAAAGCAGATACCCCTGGGTCAAGTGAGGTAGCCAGCTCACCCCATAAGCTAGCCATGCAGCCCTCAAGTGCAGTGGAATAGAATCATAGAATCATAGAATCATAGAATCATAGAGTTGGAAGAGACCACAAGGGCCATCGAGTCCAACCCCCTGCCAAGCAGGAAACACCATCAGAGCACTCCTGACATATGGTTGTCAAGCCTCTGCTTAAAGACCTCCAAAGAAGGAGACTCCACCACACTCCTTGGCAGCAAATTCCACTGTCGAACAGCTCTTACTGTCAGGAAGTTCTTCCTAATGTCTAGGTGGAATCTTCTTTCTTGTAGTTTGGATCCATTGCTCCGTGTCCGCTTCTCTGGAGCAGCAGAAAACAACCTTTCTCCCTCCTCTATGTGACATCCTTTTATATATTTGAACATGGCTATCATATCACCCCTTAACCTCCTCTTCTCCAGGCTAAACATGCCCAGCTCTCTTAGCCGTTCCTCATAAGGCATCGTTTCCAGGCCTTTGACCATTTTGGTTGCCCTCCTCTGGACACGTTCCAGTTTGTCAATGTCCTTCTTGAACTGTGGTGCCCAAAACTGGACACAGTACTCCAGGTGAGGTCTGACCAGAGCAGAATACAGTGGCACTATTACTTCCCTTGATCTAGATGCTATACTCCTATTGATGCAGCCCAGAATTGCATTGGCTTTTTTTAGCTGCCGCGTCACATGTTGGCTCATGTCAAGTTTGTGGTCAACCAAGACTCCTAGATCCTTTTCACATGTACTGCTCTCAAGCCAGGTGTCCCCCATCTTGTATTTGTGCCTCTCATTTTTTTTGCCCAAGTGCAATACTTTACATTTCTCCCTGTTAAAATTCATCTTGTTTGTTTTGGCCCAGTTCTCTAATCTGTCAAGGTCGTTTTGAAGTGTGATCCTGTCCTCTGGGGTGTTAGCCACCCCTCCCAGTTTGGTGTCATCTGCAAATTTGATCAGGATGCCCTTGAGTCCATCATCCAAGTCGTTGATAAAGATGTTGAATAAGACCGGGCCCAAGACAGAACCCTGTGGCACCCCACTAGTCACTCTTCTCCAGGATGAAGAGGAACCATTGATGAGCACCCTTTGGGTTCGGTCAGTCAGCCAGTTACAAATCCACTGAGTGGTAGCATAGTCAAGACCGCATTTTACCAGCTTCTTTACAAGAATATCATGGGGCACCTTGTCAAATGCCTTGCTGAAATCAAGGTAGGCTACATCCACTGTGTTCCCTTCATCTACCAGGCTTGTAATTCTGTCAAAAACGAGATCAGGTTAGTCTGACATGACTTATTTTTCAGAAATCCATGCTGACTATTGGTGATCACAGCATTCCTTTCTAGGTGCTCACAGACTGTTTGCTTAATGATCTGCTCCAGAATCTTCCCTGGTATTGATGTCAGACTGACTGGGCGGTAATTATTTGGGTCCTCTCTTTCCCCTTTTTGAAAATAGGGACAACATTTGCCCTCCTCCAGTCTGCCGGGACTTCGCCTGTTCTCCAGGAATTCTCAAAGATGACTGCCAGTGGTTCTGAGATCACATCTGCCAGTTCTTTTAATACTCTTGGATGCAGTTCATCTGGCCCTGGAGACTTGAATACATCTAAACTAGCCAAGTATTCTTGTACTATCTCCTTAGTTATTCTGGGCTGTGTTTCCTTTGCTGAATCATTTGCTCCAAATTCTTCAGGTCGGGCATTGTTTTCTTTATCGGAGAAGACTGAGGCAAAGAAGGCATTGAGGAGTTCAGCCCTTTCTGTGTCCCCTGTTTGCATTTCACCATCTTCTCCTCTGAGTGACCCCACTGTTTCTTTGTTCTTCCTTTTGCTACGAACATACCCATAAAAGCCTTTTTTGTTGCTTTTAACCTCTCTAGCAAGCCTGAGTTCATTCTGTGCTTTAGCTTTTCTGACTTTGTGTCTACACGTGCTGGCTATTTGTTTGAATTCCTCTTTGGTGGTTTCCCCTTTTCCATTTTTGTACACATCCTTTTTTAATCTTAACTCAGTTAAAAGTTCTTTAGATAGCCACCCTGGCTTCTTTAGGCACCTTCCATGTTTCCGTCTTATTGGTATTGCCTGACGTTGTGCTTTTAGTATCTCCCTCTTAACAAACTCCCAGCCATCATGAACTCCCTTTCCTTTTAGTATTACTGTCCAGGGGATCTCACCCAGCACTTCCCTAAGTTTTATGAAGCCAGCTTTCTTAAAGTCAAGAAATTGAGTCCTAGTATGCTTGGCTGCTCCTTTCCGCTGTATAGTAAACCTCAGAAGAGCATGATCACTCACGCCTAATGATCCTTCCACTTCTACCCCACTAACCAGGTCATCAACACTGGTTAGGACCAGATCTAAAATGGCTGTTCCTCTTGTTGCTTCTCCCACTTTCTGGACAATGAAGTTGTCTGCAAGGCCAGTGAGGAATCTGTTTGACCTTATGCTCTTGGCTGAGTTTGACATCCAACAAATATCCGGGTAATTGAAGTCCCCCATTACTACTATCTCCCTTCCTTTTGCATGCTTGGCCATCTGTTCCAGGAAGGCATCATCTATGTCCTCCGTTTGGCTTGGGGATCTATAGTAAACTCCCACAATGAGGTCACTGTTATTCTTCTCTCCCTTAATTTTGACCCAAATGCTCTCACTTTGGCTTTGAGGTTCTAAATCTTGGATCTCTTCACAGGTATACACATCCCTGACATATAACGCCACTCCTCCTCCTTTCTTGTCTGGTCTGCTTCTCTGAAATAGATTGTATCCCCCCCATTATTACATTCCAATCGTGGGACTTATCCCACCAGGTTTCAGTGATGCCTATTATGTCATATTTAGTTTGCTGTACCAAGAGCTCAAGCTCATCTTGTTTATTTCCCATGCTTTGCGCATTAGTGTACAGACATTGAAGTCCATTAATCATTCCCCCGTGTTTCTTATTTAAGGATTTTTTCCTCCCACCACTAGGTCTGTGTGCTGTTTGCTCCATTTGGTCTATGACATTTGGATGATCATCTTCATCAATTGATAGACTCCTACCTTCAGGAGCACTGTCTCCCTCCCCCCACATTAGTCAGTTTAAAGCCCTCCTGATGAGGTTTCTGAGATTTTTGGCAAAAACATTCCTCCCAACCGTTGTGAGGTGCAGCCCATCGCTTGCCAGAAGTCCATCTTCAAGAAACTGCAGTCCGTGATCTAAGAATCCAAACCGTTCCTGTTTACACCATTTGCGAAGCCAGCTGTTCACTTCCACTATTTTTCCCTCTCTCCCTGGGCCACGCTCGTTCAACTGGGAGGACAGATGAGATGACAATTTGTGCATTTAATTGCTTCAACTTCCTGCCCAGAGCCTCGTAGTCTCTTTTGATCTTCTGGAGGCTATTGCTCGCAGTGTCATTGGTTCCCACATGAACCAAGAGGAAGGGGTATTTGTCAGTGGGTTTTATGATTCCTTGCAGTCGTTCAGTTACATCTTGGATCTTAGCCCCGGGGCGACAGCACACTTCCCGAGACATCTTGTCAGGCCCACAGATCACTGCTTCTGTTCCCTCAGTAGGGAATCCCCTATCACCACTACACGCCTCCTCTTAGGTTTGGTCGGGGTTCTTCCGTGAGCTGTCCGTTCCAAGGTCGCCTGCACATTCCCTGAGGACTGACTTTGCTGCTCGTCTTCATATACCTGATCAACTGTAATGAGGGAGAGATCCTCAAATGGAGTCTGCTCTTCGTCTTCCATGCTAGGGGAGAGGACCTCAAAGCGATTGTGTATTTCTAAACAATCAGAGCGAACCTTGGGCCTCCTACTTCTTTGAGTCACGTTTCTCCATATATCTGGCTCCTGTGTTGGTGTACTAGCCTCCTTGTCAGGGGAGTCCCCTGTCTCCTCCTTGGTGGAGACGTTGTGCTCTGTTGCTTCCAAGAAAAGCTCCAGCTCCCTAATTCTTTGGAGCGTAGCTACACGTTCCTCCAGTTGCTGGACTTTGTCTTTTAAGAGGGCAATCAACATGCAATTGCTGCAGGTAAAGCTGCCTGCAACCTTTGGCAAGATGGCAAACATTGCGCAGGAACCGCAGGCGACTGCAGCTGTTCCCTCCCCCTCCATCTTGAGAACGTGTCGTTGGGGCTGGCTACAGCGGTCCTCCATCAAAAAAAAAGCGTAAAGACAGGACAAATAACTCCCCCCACAAAAAAAAAACACAAAAAAAGAACCTAGGTCTCCCCCAACAAACGTTTGAGACTAGCTCCCCTAAATCTAAAGGATGGATCAAACTGCCCTGCAAGCTCTGATAAGCTCCTCCCACAGCTAATCACCTGCCTCAACAGAAACCCTGCCCCCTCTGACCTTTGCACAGGGAGAACAGCTAATCAGCCACGGGAGAACAGCTAATCAGCCACTATCTCCATTGCTGAAGTAAGATCCATCTGCTCTGTACATGGAATTGGGCAGAATGTTGTAAAATTCTATTCCACCTTTAGTTACAGACATGGAACTGTTGCGTGTCACATGTCTGTTTACACCCCAGCACAGTCTGCTGGGAATTTCCGTTTGTGTATAGCTTTTGCTTTTGCTTCTCTCTCTGACGAGACGAAAGAGAGATGACATGTTTTCTTTGTCCTGATTTATGCTTAATAAAGCTGTAGTTTGTTAGTACGCCTCCGCAAGCCTCACACCACTTCTGTTTGCGGAGTATGCTCTGCTAATATAGTGTGCTCAGGCTTTGAAGTCTGAGTCGCTGATTTACGTCACACCAGAGATCGGGGGATCGTCACAGCTTGGAAGGGCATGATCCAGCTGAGGGCTAGCCAGTTGGCATCTCGACCCCTGAAGGATGCCGACACAGGTGATGACGGTCACCTCCAGGCTTGACTACTGTAATTTGCTCTACACAGGGCTGCCCTTGAAGCTGTCCCAGAAACTCCAGCGGGTGCAGAATGCTGCAGCGAGGAAGGGGACACCCGCCTAGCCAGCCAGATCAGCCGGATCAACCCTGGCGATCAATGGGGTGACAGATGTCGCAGCCAGATCACCCTCACATTGAAGTGGCAGAAAGATATTTCTAGATTTGTCTAGCAGGGCAAGAAGCCTCGAATAAAATTTAAGATATTAACCGGTGCTAAAGAAAGAGGTGGATTTGCCCTGCCAGACCTTAAACTTTATTATGAATCGGCCGCGTTTTGCTGGCTGAGAGAATGGCTGCTTCTTGAAAATACTGATGTGTTGGACCTAGAAGGTTTTAACAACGTATTTGGGTGGCATGCATATTTGTGGTATGATAAGATTAAAGCACATAAAGCGTTTAAAAACCATATTGTCAGAAAAGCACTGTTTAGTGTCTGGATAAGATATAAGGACTTGCTTGAAAATAAAACCCCAAGGTGGCTGTCACCAATGGAAGCGAAGGCTCAGAAAAAGCTCAATATGGAGGCCAATTGGCCGAAATATTGGGAAATTTTGTTTTTTTTTTGTTTTTTTTTGTTTTTTTTAAAATAATTTTTATTAAAGTTTTAAACAAAGAAAAAAAGAAAAAACAACACACACAGAAAAACAATACAAAATTTAACAATAAAAACACAAAACATAACAATTAAAAAACAAACTCTCTTTTCCATTCCCAATTTTAGATTACTTATTTTCTGGACTTCCTCATACCTCCCTCTTTTGTATTCCAATCTACATTATTTGTCCAGCAGTTTCTTTTCCACTTTTTTAAACCCAATCTTTAATTTAATAAAATATTAAAATATATAGCTTCAACTTTTTTTTAAACCTAATCCTTGATCTTAATGTCATATAGCTTTAAATTTTTCCCTTTTATTATCAAATTTCCATTTCTTTAAACATCTTTAATCTTGATCTTTAATCTTAATCTATCCTTAACTTTAACCTGTGCAGCTGGAAACCACTTGTTTTCAGTCCAACATCACTCTAACATTCCTTAATTTTGCAGTGTTTCTGAAGATAGTCTTTGAATTTCTTCCAGTCTTCCTCCATCGACTCTTCTCCCTGGTCACGGATTCTACCAGTCATTTCAGCCAGTTCCATATAGTCCATAAATTTCATCTGCCATTCCTCCAGTGTGGGAAGTTCTTGTGTCTTCCAATACTTTGCGATGAGTATTCTTGCTGCTGTTGTTGCATACATAAAGAAAGTTCTATCCTTTTTTATCACCATTTGGCCGACTATGCCCAGGAGAAAGGCCTCTGGTTTCTTAGGGAAGGTATACTTAAATACCTTTTTCAATTCATTATATATCAGTTCCCAGAAAGCCTTAATCTTTGGGCACGTCCACCAAAGGTGAAAAAATGTACCTTCAGTTTCTTTACATTTCCAACATTTGTTATCGGGCAAATGATAGATTTTTGCGAGCTTGACTGGGGTTATGTACCACCTGTATATCATTTTCATAATATTCTCTCTTAAGGCATTACATGCCGTAAATTTCATACCTGTGGTCCATAACTGTTCCCAGTCAGCAAACATAATGTTATGTCCTACGTCCTGTGCAACAACATAATATATTTGAAAGATTAACAAGAGTAAGCAATGGAAGCAGCTATAAATTCTTGGAACGTGGCACACATTTTTTCCTAGGTTCAAATCAGAGGCACATTTTGGTCTTCAGTTTTGTTTGTTTCAAAGCACATATTTTCTCAATCAGATTCCAAACTTTTGGGCATGCATCGTCATTATGATGAGAAAGGTAGGTAAAATTCCCCCTCTAATTTATTATTTGATAATAATGAAGCCAGTCTCGCACTTTGTTTTTTAATTTTTCAAAACTCTGCAATTTCAGTCTATCTCCGTCTTGTTCCAAAATTTCCCAATATTTCGGCCATTTGACCTCCATATTGACCCTTTTCAAGGCTTTCGCTTCCATTGGTGACAGCCATCTTGGGGTTTTATTTTCTAGCAAATCCTTATATCTTATCCAAACATTAAATAGCGCTTTCCTGACAATGTGGTTTTTAAATGCTTTGTGTGCTTTGACCTTATCATACCATAAATATGCATGCCATCCAAATACATTATTGAAACCTTCCAAATCCAAAATGTCAGTGTTTTCAAGAAGTAGCCATTCTTTCAACCAGCAAAAAGCTGCTGATTCATAATAAAGTTTGAGGTCTGGCAGGGCAAATCCACCTCTTTCCTTTGCATCTGTTAATATTTTAAATTTTATTCTAGGTTTCTTGCCCTGCCAGACAAATTTAGAAATATCTTTCTGCCACCTCTTGAAACAGTCCATTTTGTCCACAATCTGCAAAGTTTGAAACAAAAACAACATTCTAGGAAATATTGGGAAATTTTGGAACAAGAGGGAGACAGATTAAAATTGCAGAGTTTTGAAAAACTAAAAAATAGAGTGTGAGATTGGCTCCATTATTACCAAATAATGGAGGTGTACAATTTGGATAAAAAATTGGCTTCCAGGTGGAAAAATCAAAATTGGAAACAGAACTGTTAGATCCCAAAACTAAGAACTTGTCAAGAATGTATAACTTGCTGTTGAAATGGAATACTCAGGATGAAACGGTGAAATCAACTATGATCAAATGGGCACAAGATGTAGGACATAATATTATGATGGCTGACTGGGAACAGTTATGGACCACAGGTATGAAGTTTACGGCATGTAATGCCATAAGAGAGAATATAATGAAAATGATCTACAGGTGGTACATGACACCAGTCAAGCTTGCAAAAATCTATCATTTGCCCGATAATAAATGTTGGAAATGTAAAGAGACTGAAGGCACATTTTTTCACCTTTGGTGGACATGCCCAAGGATTAAGACATTCTGGGAGATGATTTACAATGAAATGAAAAAGGTATTTAAATATACCTTTCTGAAGAAACCAGAGGCCTTTCTCCTGGGCATGGTCGGCCAATTGGTGCCAAAAAGGATAGAACTTTTTTTATGTATGCCACAACAGCAGCAAGAATACTCATCGCGAAGTATTGGAAGACACAAGATCTACCCACCCGGGAAGAATGGCAGATGAAGGTGATGGACTACATGGAACTGGCAGAAATGACTGGCAGAATCCGAGACCAGGGAGAAGAGTTGGTGGAAGAAGATTGGAAGAAATTTAAAGTTTATTTACAGAAACATTGTAAAATTAAGGAATGTTAGAAGGATGTTGGAATGAAATAATGCGGTTTTAGCAGAAATGCTATAAAGGATTAAGGAAAAATAGATTGCTAAATGGTGAAGGAGGGAAAGTAAAGTTACATTATATTAAGATAAAATAGAGGACAAAAACTGGAAAAGATGGAAAGGATTTGCTGAAATAGCTAATTGAACTAGAATACAAAAAAGGGAGGTGTGAGGACGTCAAGGAAATAAGCAAATGAAAGACAAGTTATGGGAAGATTCGTTGTTTTTTTTTCTTGTTTCTTTTTTTATTATTGTGATGTGATGTTTTGTATTTTTTAAATATGCTGTTTTTTTATTTTTTATTTTTGTAACCCTTTAAAATTCAATATATATATTTTTTTTTTTAAACAGAATGCTGCAGCGAGGCTCCTCACAGGGTCTCTGCCATGGGAGCATATTCACCCAGTGCTTTTCCAGCTGCACTGGCTCCCGGTGGAGTACAGGGTCAGATTTAAGGTGCTGGTTTTGACCTTTAAAGCCCTTCACGGCCTAGGACCCTCATACCTACGGGACTGCCTCTCCTGGTATGCTCCACGGAGGACCTTAATGTCCATATATAGCAACACCCTAGAGGTCCCGGGCCCTAAGGAAGTTAGATTAGCCTCAACTAGAGCAAGGGCCTTCTCAACACTGGCTCTGGCCTGGTGGAACGCTCTATCTCATGAGACCAGGGCCCTGCAGGATCTGATTTCTTTCCACAGGGCCTGTAAGACAGAGTTGTTCTGCCTGGCTTTTGGCTTAGAATCAGTTTGATTCCCTCCCCCTCTTTCTCTTTCTCTTTCTTTTCTCCTCCTGTGAAGAGGCTGCACCCTAATGTTTTAATGTTGTATTTTAATCTTTTTTAAAAATTGTATTTTAATCAACTTGTTTTTATTATTGGTTGTTAGCCGTCCTGAGCCCGGTCTTGGCTGGGGAGGGCGGGGTATAAATAAAAAAATTATTATTTATTATTATTATCTTGCGCTTTGCTTCAGGTAGCAAAATGTCTTGAGCTGGTCTTGAAATTATTGTGTTTTACTCTCTCCTCCTTCTCCTTGTAACACTTCATCAAACTTATATGCACAGGTTCCTCATGTTTCTCTGTCCCCATCAACAGCAAATAATTATGTGATTTTGCCTACTGATCGATTTACTAGTGCAGTCTATAGATCAAAATTAGGAACATTACGGATACGGATACAATTACTGTATAGAAGAGCAGCATACAAATAAATTACAATAGTAAGTAACCACAAAACTTATGCCTCCTCCACCCCAAGGACAATACCTGGAACAATAAAATCAGTCTATACTTTCACTCTCTGCTTGATGGTTTCCCTCTCTGCCTCAATTTCCTGATTTCAATTTTTCCACCACAAATGAAACTCCAGGAACTTTGTCTGACAAGAGGTAAGTTACCCCTAAACTTGCTGACCTACCTAGCAAAGAGGAAAAAAGAGAAGAAGAATAATGGGGTTGCAAATTCCAGAATGAAAAGTTGTCAAAATAAGAATCCAGACATGACTAGGTATAGGCAAAAATGTCAGTTCTGGTTTCCCCCTGTTTCTGATTTTTCCAGTTTTAAGTTCATTTCTCTACATTTCCTCCTCAGTTTGTTGTCATGGTTTTTAAGTTTGTTGTCATGCTGCCAAGGAGTGTGGTGGAGTCTCCTTCTTTGGAGGTCTTTAAGCAGAGGCTTGACAACCATATGTCAGGAGTGCTCTGATGGTGTTTCCTGCTTGGCAGGGGGTTGGACTCGATGGCCCTTGTGGTCTCTTCCAACTCTATGATTCTATGATTCTAAGAAGCCCTCATCCAGATACGGAAAGACATAAGAAGAGCCTGCTGGATCAGGCCAATGGCCCATATAGCATAGCTGTCAACTTTTCCCTTTTCTTGCGAGGAATCCTATTCGGAATAAGGGAATTTCCCTTAAAAAAAGAGGAAACGTTGACAGCTATGCCATATAGTCCAGCCTCTTGTTCTCACATGAGTCTGTGGGAAACCGGCAAGCCAGATTTGACCACAAGAGCCCTCTTGCCTCCTGTGGCTTCCAGCAACTGGAATTCAGAAGCATGTAAATTTGCAAATCAATAATTTTTTTTTTAAAAAAGACCTTGCTTCTCAAACTTAATCCATTCCGCGAGTCCATTGGACTCCTGAAACTGAAACGGCTTCTGATTGGCTGCAGGAGCTTCCTGCAGCCAATCGGAAGCCACAGAAGCCGCGTTGGATGTTCAGCTTTTGAAAAATGTCTGAAACCTCACTTCAGGGTTGGCGACGTTCTGGAGCCAAAACATATGAGTACCAAGGCTTTCGAGAATCAAGGTACGACGGTACATGCAAGACAGCAGCAGAACTGGCAGTCTTTTGCTGGTTAGGGTGATAGTTATGATGGTAACGATGATGATAAAGAATTACTATAAATTGTTATTTTTTAATAATAATAATAATAATAATACAGTGGATGCTCAGGTTGTGAACGTGATCCGTGCGGTTTGCACATTCGCAACCCATAGTGTTCGCAATCCGCGTCTGTGCACGCGCGGGTTGCGATTTGGCCTTCTGCGCATGCGCAAAGCACCGTTTAGCGCTTCTGCGCATGCGCGACCACCAAACCCGGACGTAACCTGTTCCGGTACTTCTGGGTTTTGGTGGTCCGCAACCCGTAAAAATGCAACCTGAAGCGGACTCCTGAGGTATGACTGTAATAATAAATGCATCCCCAAATCTAGCTTTACCTTTATGACCTGGGGGTTTCTGTTTCAGATATTTGAAGAACAGATAGGACGTGAGGACAAGTCAGCTGCCAAATTTGAAGGCGGATGATTTCCTCACTGGGCCCCTGACAACGCATTGTTCTCTCCGAGGTCTTCTTTTGATGGAAAGTACCCAAGGGACGGTGGCAGAACAGCAGAAGCAGAGGTTGTGCCCTTCGCATTCAAGCTTGCTTAATGAACTGGAACATCCTGAAGTGACTAGGAGAATGAGGTCCATATCGGTGGCTTCAGCCAAGTTTCTTTCTTATTATCCTTTTTTCTTTCCCATTATATCTGACATTTCTGCGGCGGGACAGAGCGAGCCTATCAAGCCATGTTGCGAATGCCCAAGAATACCTGAGCAGAGAATGCCTATATATATGCCCTCGCAAGAGAACACACCTTGCATTCATGGCACTTGAACTGTATAGGTGTCTGATGGCCAATCCATCAGGGCCTGTAGCTGTTGTGTACGATTCTAGCACATGCTGAGTACAAAATTTGCACATCCACACACAAGGGGTATGTGCAGGGCCATAGCTAGGGGGTGGAGAGGTGGGCCCCCACCAGGGGTGGAGGCAAGGGGGGGCACAAAATCGGCTAAAAATATATCCATAAATATGTCTATAAATAAAAATTTTGATTATTGCCTCATAAGAAAAGGTTTTAAATAGAGGGTGGATTGAATGGGTGGAGGGTGGGGTTGGAGGAGATGTGGAAAAAAGAGCTAATCTGTCCATGGTTAGGGGGCGCAATCTGGACGGTTCTGCCAGGAGCGCAAGATCACCTAGCTACAGCTCTGGGTACGTGACCAGCCTGTTGTGTGCAGATATCACTGTATCCACAATCAAGGTTGTTGCCTCGGTCCAGTATACCTGAAGGAGCGTCTTCACCCCCATCGTTCTGCCCGGACGCTGAGGTCCAGTGCCCAGGGCCTTTTGACGGTTCCCTCACTGCGAGAAGGCAAGTTACAGGGAACCAGGCAGAGGGCCTTCTCGGTAGTGGCACCCGCCCTGTGGAACGCCCTCCCACCAGATGTCAAAGAGAACAACAACTACCAGACTTTTAGAAGACATTTGAAGGCAGCCCTGTTTAGGGAAGCTTTTAATGTTTAATAGACTTGTATGTTAATATTTTGTTGGAAGCCACCCAGAGTGGCTGGGGAAACCCAGCCAGATGGGCAGGGTATAAATAAATTATTATTATTATTATTATTATTATTATTATTATTATTATTATTGCTAGTAAACCCTCAGAAATACATTTTGAGTGTTTACATGCAGAAATAAAAACTGACTTCCTGGCTCCCACTAGCATCCAAAGAGTCACATGTATGGCTGGGCGATACATTGATATAGTGTCCAAAAGCGATTTGAAATCCACAACATGATATCAGTTTTATTAAATTTAGACCTGGAAATATATCACAAATCATGATATGTTGATGTGTGTGTTAGGGCTGGGTGATATATCGTCCAAAACCAGTTTGAAGTCCATATCATGATACCAGTTTCATAATTTTTGACCTGGCAATGTATCGCGAATCATGGCATGTGTGTGTGCGATACAAAAATCACAATGTGGGGAAAGCTGTGAAGCCAGCCAATGCCTCTTTACATAGTTCCATCCTTATTTCAGACATTGTAATATGTCAGTATGTTGCAATGTTTAGCTGGCAATATAACACGATGTTGAAAACCAGATATCGCTCAGTCTTAGTCACAGGTTTCGCTGAATGAATCATATTGAAAATGCTTCATGGCAAACTATGGTAAGAATTTAGTAGTAGTAATAATAATAATAATAATAATAATAATAATAATAATAATTTATTTGTTTGTTTCCCCAGCCACCCTGGGTGGCTTCCAACAAAGATTAAAATACATCAAAATGTCACACATTAAAAACTTCCCTGAACAGGGCTGCCTTCAGATGCCTTCTAAATGTCAGGTAGTTGTTTATCTCTTTGACATCTGGTGGGAGGGCGTTCCACAGGGCGGGTGCCACTACAGAGAAGGCCCTCTGCCTGGTTCCCTGTAGCTTTGCTTCTTGCAGTGAGGGAACCGCTAGAAGGCCCTCAGTGCTGGACCTCAGTGTCCGGGCAGAACAATGGTGGTGGAGACGCTCCTTCAGATATACTGGACTGAGGCTGTTTAGGGCTTTAAAGGTCAGCACCAACACTTTGAATTGTGCTCGGAAACGTATTGGGAGCCAATGTAGGTCTTTCAAGACTGGTGTTATATGGTCTCGGCGGCCGCCCCCAGTCACCAGTCTAGCTGCCGCATTCTGGATTTAAGGAAATATTAAGAACATTATATGATGCAGTTAGATAAGAATAACTATGGAACCCATGAAGGGATGGAGGAAAGTCTAGGGATTCAGAGAATCCTATGTGTATATGATTATGATTTACACGTGAATGCAAATGTTAAATGTAAAACCGAATAAAAATATTTTTTTAAAAGGGGGGGGAACAAATGCTTTACGGTAGCCAAGCTTGTGTATTACCAGTGTATGAATAACAAAAGCCCAGTCTGACAGCTCTAGACAGGGGCATAGTTTGTGTAACAGTCTAAGTTGGGTAAAAAGGCATTTTTGGCCTCCAACAACCATTCTGAAGGGCATTTTCTCACAGAGATAAAGGATTTCATCACAGCAAATCACAGGTCAACTGAGCACAGTTCACATGGACTGGGAGGGGCATACGGAACCACAGGTTGTGCATGGTTCACATAGGGAGGGGGTATACTACAGGTAACGATTCAATTCCCTGGGGATGCCAAGCAGAAGATTTGCCACCATGTCACGACTTTATCACCATCCACTCAGCCTTCCGCCTTCCCTCCTCATCCCAGCTGGTAAGAAGATTTATAGGCACCATAAATTGACTTTATTAAATTGACAGAGTAAGGCCTTTGACACTGTTTCACATGACTTACTCCAATACAAATAAAAAGGAAATGTGGGGTGGATTTTGCCACCGCAAGACTGGTGCGCCACTACTTGGGAACTATCCTAAAAAAGGTGTTCAGTTTCTCTCTACCTACCTACCATGGTGTAAAAAACGAGGGATCATGCTGTTCTCTTCTGCTGCCTCTGGTCCTCTTTAGTTTCTTTGAGTTGAGCAGAAGAATGGTAGATATGCTTCTGAAATGTGGGGATAATTCCAAAATGAGGAAATTTGCAAGAATTTATCCGAGTATGGGCTCATTGTTTAGAATCCCAACTAATCTACAGTGGGGATGCGTAAATAGAAACAGGTGAGATTTAATTTAGCAGCGGTTTGACTTCACCCCTGGAGGCACATTGTCTCTTGAGATGGACGGGTGCCAACAACTCCTGCAAGGCACGATCTGCAAGGCATTGTGTGGGTTACCCCTGTTTTAAACAACATTTACCTGGCTTGGGCTGTGGCAGCAGTGAGAAGAGGGAAGCAGGAAAACGTTCTCTCTCCCTCTCCCCATCTCTCTGGCACACTGGTAGCACACAAAGCCTTATTGTGAAATTTGAAGCAAATTTTGGATGAACACATCCAACGAATTTGAAAGGGAAGCCAAACAAAAGCTGAGTAAGTCTGAAATAAGGTCAGGGTGTGTGTGCTTGTGTATGCATGTAGCCATTGGGGTGAGATCTTCCTGATGAAAACAAAACTCAGAGCAAACTCTGGAGATTGTTTCTCAGATGAACGTGCTGAAGAGTTCCAGGGGAGGTCACGGCAGTCTTGATAAGAGTAACATTTCTCAGAAGGGATTTGCATGTTCCTGGTTAGATAAAGTGTCGTTCCTGACAACCGCTGGAGCAACTCTCATTGCTTCATGTTACAGCAATAACCTAGAAAAGCTATTCAAGCAAAGGCTATACCCAGCTTTCTCTCCATAATAATGTACAGACCTGACCACAGCTTTCCTTTTTAGAAAGTACAGAAGTTTGGCTTTCCCTCGTGCTTCTGAACAAGAGAGCTCAAAATAGTTCCACTGGAAAGGTAGATGATTTTATTTTATACATAAACACACACACACAAAAACAGATGGATTGTTTTAGACCATTTTACCCGCTTCACTCTGATTCAGTTTTTCCATAACATTTCAGTCATTTCTGGTGGCAAGTGGCCTCTAATTTTGGCTTATTCAGTGGAAATTAGCAGTAATAACATAATGGACACACTGGTATGTGCCCTCAGGAGCCCTTCTGAAGGCAAATTTAATTGTTAAGTGAAAATAGATTGATAGTCTCAGCTCCTCCTGCAAATACGTGTAAGAGCTGTGGCGAGTTGCTCAAGCCATTCTTATTGTCTCGCTGCAGTATATGACACAAGCAATAAAAGAACTTTATTTCGGGAGTTAGGCATGGTTTTTGAAGATGGCAGTTTGGCCATTTGGCCATTTCACCTGTAGCAGCTGGTGAGGTTGGCAGGATGGGGGTCGGTTGCGTTCTTGGCTTCCCAACCCAGAAGGCAACCCAGAGGGAGAGCAGACGGTCCAGGAATCAGTGTGTTTTTACATGAGTAGAATGTGTCCTTTTATTTAAAATATATCTCTGGGTTATTTGTGGGGCACAGGAATTCATTCATATTTTTTCCCCAAGATATAGTCCGGCCCTCTGTATGGTCTGAGGGATGGTGGACTGGTCCCTGGGCTAAAAGGGGCCAGGAGAAATGCTTGTAATTGTTGTGAGAGCCAGTGTGGTGTAGTGGTTAAGAGTGGTAGTCTTGTAATCTGGGAAACTGGGTTTGCGTCTCCGCTCCTCCACATGCAGCTGCTGGGTGACCTTGGGCCAGTCACACTTCTTTGAAGTCTCTCAGCCCCACTCACCTCACAGAGTGTTTGTTGTGGGAGAGGAAGGGAAAGGAGAATGTTAGCCGCTTTGAGACTCCTTAAAGGGAGTGAAAGGTGGGATATCAAATCCAAACTCTTCTTCTTCTTGTCAGCCACCCCTGAAAATCCCCCAAATGCCCCCTTTTCCCGACTGTGGTTGGACTACAAAATTGAGAAGGAGGGATTTTGGCCCAGCACCAAACATATCCTAAATCAATAAAGTGTTCAAACCACAGAATATCCTCATGGGACTCTCTGTGCCTGGAGAGAGAAGGATTGTAGCCTTGGGTATATACATATACATATATTTGGCAATACCTGCAATGACTCTGCTTGTGAATCTTGCCAAGGAAAAAAGAGAGCATCACCGGAGATATATTGAGGATGTCAACATGCAGTGATCTTGTTTTTGCTGATCTCCTTTAGCTGCATGGGCACAAAGCTGGTGCCAGAAGGTGGCTATGCCAGGGGCTTGCTAGCGTCCCCAGACTGAAAATGGAAATCAGAGAGCAGCATGGCATAATTCTTTGTGTGCACATCTTCACTCTCCTAGGTTAAGGGGGCTTAATGTTTAAGAGGTTTCCTGCTAGAAGACCCCCATAGCCCTAGAGCCATTAAACCCATGGATGCCCAGCATTTGTGGTTCTTGTGGTTCACGGTAATTCCATTTACAGTGAACTCCTCTGAAGTTTATCCCCTCTTGCCTCCCTCTCCCAGGAGACTGGAGGAGACTGGAACATGGAAAATAGCATGTCAGGAAGAAGGTTTCCAGCTTAACCTTGAGTGGGGGAGTCAACATCACACATGCTTCCTGTATTAAATTAATTTCCACATATAATAATCGAATTATAGAGTTGGAAGATACCCTGAGGATCATATAGTCCAACTCCTTCAGTGTAGGAATATGCAGCTGTCCCATACGGGGATCGAACCTGCAACCTTGGCATTATCAGCACCACGCTCCAACCAGCTGAGCCACCTTCAGGCTCATATTTATGTAGGTTCTCCTGAGTAGGTTCTCCCATTTTGCTTCCTTCCTCTGGGAAACTTTGGGAAGGAAGGGCCCATGAAGAACCAACATCAAACATGATTCCTGTATTTATTTAAATTCTAGTTTAAAGGTAAAGGACCCAGATGACTCTGGGGTTGCAGCACTCATCTCGCTTTACACACCGAGGGAGCTGGCGTTTGTCCACAGACAGTTTTTCCGGGTCATGTGGCCAGCATGACTAAGCTGCTTCTGGCGAACCAGAGCAGTGCATGGAAACGCGATTTACCTTCCCGCTGGAGCAGTACCTATTTATCTACTTGCACTGGTGTGCTTTCGAACTGCTAAGTTGTCAGGAGCTGGGACTGAGCAACGGGAGCTCACTCCGTCGTGAGGATTCGAACTGCCAACCTTCTGATCTGCAAGCCCAAGAGGCTCAGTGGTTTAGACCACAGCGCCACCGGCGTCCCTAACAAAATTCTAGTTAGAGTTCTCTTTTAAACAGGTTCTCTCTTTTCACTCCCCTCCCCCAGGAGATTTTGAGGAACCCCACACATGGAAGAAAGGTTCTACCCTTGACATTCACCATAGGAGCCAACTCCTACGGGCCAAGGTCCCTTTGGCCCCTCCATAAAATATTTGAGGGGGCTCCCCCCCCAGTTCATGAGTATTCATCAAATGGCGAGTGAACACTGTATCGTGTGATTGATTATGTGGGGCAGGGCTTACCTGGCCCCCCCGCCCCTCAATATTTTATACAAGTTGGCATCCCTGACATTCACCCGTGGAGAATCAGCATCAAACATGCTTCCTGCGTTTAATTAAATTCCATTTAGAATGATCTCCTGTGCAAAGTCTCCCCCCCCCCAAATAAACTTTGGGAGCCAGGAGCATCCTTGCCAGGCATGCTCACCTCTATCTACAAATGGGAAAGGCGCAGAAGCAGCTGAGCAGACCTCACGTCAGCCTATGGGAATCAATGAACAATTAATTACTATCATCAAGTGGTACTCTACTCCGGGAAGACAGCGCACTTATATTTATCAATTACTAATTAGTAGCTCTTGCCCAGCTGACAGTTGTCTGTCAGCCAGGAGAAAAGCCGCAGTGTGTGGCTCTCCAAAGTGGTCGGTTCTTAGCGGTAATTAGTGGAGCTCTACTATGGCTCTGGGTCTTGTTTTGTTTTGAAATCCTTTCCTAACAAGGCTGGGACTTCCAAAGGGATCCTCAGGCATCTCGGTGCCATTCTCCTGATTAATTTCAGGGTGTGTTTGTGCATGCGTTGGGCCTTCAACATCCGCTTTCCTTTGCAAGTCCTTCCCTGAATCTTAGAAATCTTCCCAGAATCTTCATTGTGGGGGATGAAACACATGCATAGTTTTTCAGATTAATTTGGCTCGGATATAGGGATGCACAGACCTGCCAATTTCAGCTTCTCTTTCCCCCAGTGTTCAGTTCAGTTCTCCCCATTTCTGTAGCGATTGCCAATGTGTTTGTTTTGAGAAATCCTCGTGAAAATCTGTCAGCGTTTGAGTGCAAATTTCTTCTAACTAACACATAGTTGCATGCGGTTTGGAATGACAGACCCATCCCTGAAAGCAATTTTCTCTGATATAATGCATTTTGTGTATGTTATTTTCACTAAGCGCTCAGCTAGACTGGTAAAGAAACAGCGATTTATATGCACTGTATGTATGGTGCAACATTGTGCCACCAGATGGCGATGTGGAGTTCTGCTTTTCTCTACCGGTTTTCCCTGTTTAAATTTACAACGCTTTGAACTGAAATGCTTCTTTGATGTGTCTAGATGAGGCCTAAGATGTGTGTTTTCCCACAATATGTGCATATTGTTTGGTGGGAGGACTGCATTGGAGAAGTGCAAATTTTGAAGGATACCTGTGTTCTGGTTCTCGAGAAGTACAAATTAAATCATATGTCAGTGGTTGGCCCTGTCTCCCTCCCTATTTCTCTCCAGTACACCTGGAGATGGGCGGGTAGGTTTCCTCAAGGAGTATGGTGGCAGAAAAGACTATGTTTCTACAGGGCATTGTATGAGTAATGGCAGCTGCCTGATACTCATTGATGCATCAGGCTAATAAAATAATAATAATAATAATAATAATAATAATAATATTTTATTTAAACCCTGCCCATCTGGCTGGGTTGCCCCCTAGTGGTGTGAGCAGTGTGGAGGCTGCCACTGTGATTGAGAGCAGCACTTTTACCTTACAGGATTGTGCTGAGAAAATGTATCTGAAGATTCTTCATCACTTTAAGCCAATGGTGGGAAACCTCAGGTCTGGGGGCCACATGCAGCCCCCCCAGGCCACTCTGTCTGGCCCTTGAGACTCTTCCCAGACCACCCACTCACTAGCCCAACTTTGAACCCTTCTTGAGAGTTTTTGCCTGGCTGCAATGTCTCCTTGAACTCAACGCTTCCTGCTGGTCTGCATGACAAATATAAAGAGGTTTGTGTGTGTGCAGAAACTAGCCTAGGGTACAGGTAAAAATTACATTTGTTGCTCCAATCATTTCCCCCTCTAGCTTCCCACACCCCTCTTCTCCTAAGCACAAATAGAAATAGACAATAATGAATATTGTCATTATTCTTAACTTACATGAAATGTAATAGTGGCCTACTGATAGTTTACTGTCAAGGGATGACTAAAAGCTTATTGCTTCTTCAGTAGCTTTTTGTATAGCTTAACCCAGGGGTGGGGAACCTGTAGCCCTCTAGAAATTGCTGGACTACAACTCCCATCATTCCTGAACATTGATCAGACTGATGGGAGTTGTAGTCCAGCAACATCTGGAAAGCTACTGGCTCCCCTGCTTTCAACATAGACATGATGAACGTGAAAGAACTCATCAGAAATAATGCATGCCAAACTCCATCAGCTTTGTAACCACAAGCAGAAGATACTTAATTTCAAAACTCAACAAGTCAGCCGCTGGAGTTTAGAACCTCAGAAATCTCATCAAACCCTGAAGCCCACGGAGAAAATTCTTCCTGAGATCATGGTTGCATAGCGATTCCCTCCCCCCTTCCCAGTTTAAACAACAGTTTAAATATTAGACTTTCCCAGGAAGGGAAATATCTCTTCTCACCTGACATTGCTAAAACCCCTGGCTCCTTGCTGAGTAGATTATTAATGGCAGGGACCATTTAATCTCTCCTGGGTAAGGCATCCAAAAGAGTCACACTGTTGATCCAGACGCAAGTCAACATGTTATCGCTGCCGTGACGTTATCACTGCCCCTAACAGTAAGCGGGTTGGGGGTGGGCAGGAGGAGGTTAGTAACCTGGTTCCTTCACATTGTAATGTGTGCATCCCAAGTTGCCGTTTGCAATTAACTTGCTCAAACAAAACTCATATAAATCAATCATGCCTGGGCTAATAAATAAATCTTTGATCAGTGACTATCTGGTAAATGTGTAGACATGGGTCAGTACCTCAGATTTACAGCACTTCCTTGCTGGGCAGCAGGATTAAAACAAAGACTAATGGGTTGTCATGTCTTCTTATTTAAAACTTGTGCAGCAATGCCATTGTCGGGGGCCCTGTATCATTTTATTTGCAGTCATGTAGCTGTCCCTCCAAGTTAGGGGCTTTCAGTTATTTACTTTTCAGTCTCCCCCCTCAATGCTTCCAACAACAACAGCAGCAACAACAACAACAACAACATAATATATTTGAAAGATTAACAAGAGTAAGCAATGGAAGCAGCTATAAATTCTTGGAACGTGGCACACATTTTTTCCTAGATTCAAATCAGAGGCACATTTTGGTCTTCAGTTTTGTTTGTTTCAAAGCATATATTTTCTCAATCAGATTCCAAACTTTTGGGCATGCATCGTCATTATGATGAGAAAGGTAGGTAAAATTCCCCTACTCAGATTGGCCTAGGTATATGCTTTTGGAGCAAAGGTGATGCTTCTGGGATCTCCCTGCTATGTGGGTTTTGCACCAGAGAATTCTACTGTGCCTCACATAGGAAGGGACCTTATCTGTGGCCCATAAGGGAAACTGGGGGACTGCCCCGTCAACCTTAGCCTGACCTCAGCCAGCTCCCACCTGCCTGTCTAACTTAGCTGGGAACTGCATTGCAAAATTCAAAGAAATTGAATTTTGCACAAACAAAAAAGGATAACAATCTTCCATTCTGCATGTTAGGTACAGATCAGGTCAGCTCATGTTGGAATTCATGGGGATCACATCCCTTAAAAGTAAAGGGACCCCTGACCATTAGGTCCAGTCATGACCGACTCTGGGGTTGCGGTGCTCATCTCGCTTTATTGGCCAAGGGAGCTGGCCAGCATGACAAAGCCGCTTCTGGCGAACCAGAGCAGCGCACGGAAACGCCGTTTACCTTCCCACCAAAGCGGTACTTATTCATCTACTTGCACTTTGACGTCCTTTCGAACTGCTAGGTTGGCAGGAGCAGGGACCAAGCAATGGGAGCTACCCCGTCGCGGGGATTCAAACCGCCGACCTTCTGCTCGGCAAGTCCTAGGCTCTGTGGTTTAACCCACAGCGCCACCCGCATCCCTTAAGTATTCCTAAATCAGAGTTTGGGTGTGTGTGTGAAGGCTTCAAAACAGCACCAACGCCTTGGCTTCGGAAATGGAACTTCCACGTAAGACCCGAGCTGAGGTTGGGAAGGAAAGTTCTGACACAGGGATGTACAGATTCAGAACACATCGGCAAATGAAATCCATGATAAAAGAAGAGAATGTGTTTGGCAGTTTCCAGCTAACTTGCCACTTGGCCAGGCAGCTGGGGGGGGGGTGTGGGGGTGGCCTTTTGCAGATAAAATCTGGTTATATAGAGCTGATTCTCATCAATATACCCTTTAGAAGAGTCCTCTCCCATCTAAAAGCCTGCCTCAACATTTGAGTGCTCACAATTAATCCAGGCAGTGCCATGCTCTTGTTTTAATGGCATACAGACGCTTAGTCATTTCCTCTGTCTTGTTTTCGCTTGATGCTCCAGGGAGTAATTACCCTGATATTTTGTCCCTTACCTTGGCATCGTTAGACATTTCTGCTAATTCCAGAGCTGCATTTCTTAATCTAACTACTACTAATTCCAGGAATCTAACCCTGCACTTTAATGGGCCTTTGCCATCAGAGACTCTCCAAACACTTTGCAGTTTTCATGATATGCCAGGCACATCATGGCACAACAACAGAGCATGCTTCTCTCAGGGGAGGATATTTAGGCCTGTAAGCAGTAAAGGGGTGAGGGAGATAAAACAAACATCTGCCCAGAATTTCTGACCAAATGTTTGCTATATCCTTTCGGTTCAGAAATCGTAGGTAAAAGAAGGGGGGACTGCAGCAAAATGTTGCAGTGCAGAGTGCTCCTTCTCAGTGTCTCAGTCAGGTTTTTTTTAAAAAAAGCACAATTCCATTCCATCAACTAAGCATGCTCAGATCTCACTGGGTAATTTGTTGAGGTTCACACTTTTTTTAAATAAAGAAAAGTTTGTATCCCTGACCTTGAGGTTGCCATGAGTCTTCAGATAATTCTTTCCTGTGCACTGGGTCTGTGTGCAGTTTTATTTACAGAAGCAACAGCTTTCACAACCTGAACATCAGATACAAAGGGAATGAAAAGACTCTGTCTTTCATATTTCCCTTTTAATTCCATATTACAGTAACACACCAGACCCAAGGTAGCCTCAGAAAATAAGCAGCTTTGCAATTAGCTCCTCCCTGCCCTTGCTCAGTTAGAACTGGGCCACAAAGATTAGTCAACTCTCAGAGCCAAGTATGGACGGTTCTGTGACCCTGATATAATTTTATACCCAGAATACTCATTTGAAGTCAGATTGAGAAATTGGCATTCCAAGCACCACCCACTCATTTTCAGGAAAAGAATTTAGTTCATTGTCTTTACCCTGAATAAACATTACCATTGGCATATCTTAAAGTTTCCAAGCATTGTGATGTGCACAGGTGCATTCTTTTATGTTACAGGGAAACAGTTAATGTGCAAGAAAAAAAATTGTGTGCAAAGTGCAAACATTGTGATGTGCAAGAAAAACATTGTGTGCAAAGTCACCTTTAGACCCATACTTGGGCCAGAGCTCAAAATGCAAGGGCCATCTTAGAAGATAAATCTGAGAAGTGACAAATTCTGGTCTCAAGGGTTCTGAATGTGAGATGAAGCAATCCATTTCTCCCATCCATTCATGCAACTGTATGTTAAAGAGTAGATTGGCAAGCCTTAATCTGGTAGCTGATGCAGTGGCAAAGAACTGAGAAGTACCAGGTTCAAATCTCGCTCCATCCATGAATTTACATAGCCATTATCTCTCAACCTCCAACTTAGGCTGCATAAACGTCACACATTTAAAGCACATGACTTCCCCCCAAAGAATCTTGGGAGCTGTAGTTTGCTGAGAGTGCTGGGAATTGCAGATCTGTGGAGGGTAACCTAAAGTCCCCAGGATTCTTTTGAGAAAGTCCTGAGCTTTATAGATGTGCTATAAATGTACAGGGCATGCTCAGGCTTAAGGACCTGCGCCAGCACTGTTGACTTCAGCACTTTGGACAGCTGCCAGGGTCATGAGCCCCAGCAAGACCCACCTTGGTGGTGGATAGTACAAACCACCATTTATACCCACTTTGGAAGAATGGCAGATGAAGGTGATTGACTACATGGAATTGGTGGAAATGACTGGCAGAATCCGAGACCAGGGAGAAGAGTCGGTGAAAGAAGACTGGAAGAAATTTAAAGACTATTTACAGAAATATTGCAAAATTAAGGAATCTTAGAAGGATGTTGGATAGAAACTAAGAGGTTTTTAGCTGTAATGCTTTAAGAGATATGAAAAACGGTTAACAATTGGGTAAAAGTTTAATGGTAAGGATTTGCTGAACTAACAAACTGAACTGGAATACAAAAAAGGGAGGTATGAGGAGGTCCGGGGAAATAAGTGTAGGGAAGATAGGTTTGGAAAATCAATGTCTTTTTAACTGTTTTATTTTGTATGTTTCCTTTTTATTCTTTATTTTTTTGTTATATTTTAAAAACGTTATTCTTTTTTTTGTACTCTGTATTTTTTTTTTGTATTTCTTGAAACTTTAATAAATATCATTTAAAAAAAACCACAAACAAACCACCATTTAAAATGTACGAACATATAATTGTTGCCAGACGGGGAGGGGGAATTTCTTCAGGACTCTCCCTGAGTTACTCCCCACACCCCTGCTGGACCTTTTTTTTTTTTTTGCCTGGGTGTGGTGTATCCTTGAACTCTGTAGCTCTCAGTTGCCACTACGGAGCACAGAGAGGGGGGTGTCCATGGGTGTGAAACTAGCCCGCAGTAGAAATGCAAAATGTGCATTCATTGCTCTGATCACTTTTCCTTCTGACCCCATCCAGAGCTGCCATGTGGTCTGTGGAAGGTTACCCAAGGGAATTCTCTGCTCTGGGGCATTGTGGGAAATTAAATTAGCAGCCCTGACCAGCTCTGATCAGAAGAGGAGAACTGCTTTGCAAAACTATCCAAGGAGCCTACTGTGGAGCCCTGGGCTGAAGACTTGCTGTTTTTGTTGGGTTCAATTGCATCTTGTTATTCCAGTTGCCAGTGTCCTTGGGACCAGTGGGATATTCAAACAAGCCTGCAAGCCAAGACCCAGCCTTGCGTACAAATAGGGAGCCAACCCCTAATATACCTTGAGTAACTTTCCCCAGCCTTGACTCCTCAGCTAGTGTTGGACTACAAATCCCCAACCAGCACAACCAGTGACCAAGGATGATTGTATTTCTAATCAAGCATCATCTGAAGACCTCAGGGTGGGGAAGGCTGCCCTAGAGAAAGTGAAAAAGTACCAAGAAGCTGAGGCCTGGACTGCAGCAGGGATTGCCCATTTGAAAAGCAGCCAAGCTCCTAGTCCTCATGCCAGAACTGGCCAGTACAGGGGCTTTGCACTGCCTTCCAGGGGTAGAGGCTAATTTTGCACACCCTATTCACTTCCATTGGTGCTGGAGGAGACTCTTGAGAGTCCCATAGACTGCAAGAAGATCAAACCTATCCATTCTGAAGGAAATCAGCTCTGAGTGCTCACTGGAAGAACAGTTCCTGAAGCTGAGGCTCCAATACTTTGGCCACCTCATGAGAAGAGAAGACTCCCTGGAAAGCACCCTGATGTTGGGAAAGATGGAGGGCACAAGGAGAAGGGGACGGCAGAGGATGAGATGGTTGGATAGTGTTCTCGAAGCTACCAGCATGAGTTTGACCAAACTGCGAGAGGCAATGGAAGACAGGAGTGCCTGGCGTGCTCTGGTCCATGGGGTCACGAAGAGTCGGACATGACTAAATGACTAAACAACAACAACATTCACTTCCATGTTTAGAGAGAACCCTGAGGTTCATGTGCACACACTCCTAGACAACTCATCAAGCTACTTCTGAGCCTCTAACCAGGAGTTCCTGCATTTCCTGGAGGTGAACGGAATACTGATCTGCCTTGCCAGACTGTTGTGGAGATTACTCCAGAATGAGCTCTACCAATGTAGTTATAATCATCAACACAAAATGTGCATCCCTCCATCTCTCAAGAGGTATAGCCTTACTGCTGAAAGACAGAAAATAGACATCAACTGAATTTTACTATCCATTGCAGAGGCTTCTAGCTCCCTCAAAGGCTGTTTGATCATGCTTAAATCATTCTGACCTGGAATATGAATGACTGAGCCAAAGGAACAACGCCCCCCCCCCACTTTCTCTCCTGCTCAAGCGTGACAACAAATCAAGTCAAATGGATTCGTTTCCCCCTCCCCCTTTAAAAGAAACACATGCTCAAATACAAATTAAATGTCCGCATTCCCTTAGGTTTCATTAATACTTTTATTAGTCTTATCTGACTCATTCCTATTCGGCCCTCCGCTTTGTCACCAAAACCCTGTGGGATGGTAAACACATCTTTGTACTTTATCTTTTAACCTCCGAGTAACCTTTGTCCTTGGACTCCTAGCAACTTTCAGGACCTAAAAGCATTACAAATGGGGAAAGTACTTATAATGATTAATCTTGTTGGCTGGAGTCATTATGAATAGATGCTCCCTCAGAACTACAGGGAAGGGGGCTGGCCCCCTGACATCACCACGGACTTGCACCTAAGCGTTTCTTGTTAGTGGGCTGTCCTCAGGCGGCAGGGGGCTGGTGGTCTCTGAAGATGGCTGCCAACCATGTTCTACTCAGGGCAGTCCCTTGGGAATGAATAACAAAACCACAGAATTATAGAGATGGAAAGGATGTTGAGGGTTATCTAGCCCAACCCTCTGCAAATGGATTTAAGCTAGTCATGTCCAGGGAATGCAATGTGTCTACTCTGACTAACATTGGAGGAGGAGGAGGAGGAAGAAAATAGGATAATAATATACAGTGGTACCTCAGGTTAAGTACTTAATTTGTTCCAGAGGTCCGTTCTTAACCTGAAACTGTTCTTAACCTGAAGCACCACTTTAGCTAATGGGGCCTCCTGCTGGCGCTGCACCACCAGAGCACAATTTCTGTTCTCATCCTGAAGCAAAGTTATTAACCAGAGATACTATTTCTGAGTTAGCGGAGTCTGTAACCTGAAGCGTATGTAACCTGAAGCGTAGGTAACCCGACGTACAACTGTATTAAGGATGGAATAACAAATAAAGTGAATAAAGCAAGAGTAACAAAAAAAATAGGGACATGGGTGGTGCTGTGGGTTAAACCACTGAGCCTAGGGCTTGCCGATCAGAAGGTCGGCGGTTCAAATCCCCGTGACGGGGTGAGCTCCCATTGCTCAGTCCCTGCTCCTGCCAACTTAGCAGTTTGAAAGCATGTCAAAGTGCAAGTAGATAAACAGGTACCACTCCAGCGGGAAGGTAAATGGCGTTTCCGTGCGCTGCTCTGGTTCGCCAGAAGCGACTTAGTCATGCTGGCCACATGACCCGGAAGCTGTACACCGGCTCCCTCGGCCAATAAAGCGAGATGAGCGCCGCAACCCCAGAGTCGGCCACGACTGGACCTAATGGTCAGGGGTCCCTTTACCTTTTAACAAAAATAATAGGAGGTAAAGAAGATCGCACATGGGTTGGATGGAAGTACTGGGCTGTGGGGAAGGGAGGTGAAGGTGTTAACTGAAATTGTTAAAGATTGGTATAAGATTTAAGAAATTTAGATTTTTATAAAGATTCTATAAGGAAAGCAGAAAGCAGCAAGAAATATCAAGTAAAAGTATCAGAAAGGAGATCAGTGTAAATGAAAACATGAGACTTATGGTTTTGTTACATATGATTTTATTTTGGAGTTGTCTGCTTATTTTGGAGTTGTTTGCTGTAAAGAATGTATATTATGTGAATAAAATAATAAAGGATTTGACAATTATTATTTTTTTTAAAAAAAGAAAGAATAAGATATACAGAGGAAGGAATTATTTACAGAGGAAGGATTGCTATTTTTAACCACCATTCATCCAAAAAGATCCCATGGTGGTTTACACATCTGCCCAGTTAAGTAGTTGAGTACAGTTGCGCAGTGACAGCCACTAGGATGCTGGTAGTCCAGAGGTGGAAAGACAACAAGGTCCCTACCAGAGTAGAATGGCAGAACAAATTGCTGGACTATGTAGAAATGGCAAAAATGACCGTGGAAATCAGAAATCAGGAAGATCAAAACTTCAATAAAGATTGGGAGAAATGTATATTATATTTGAAAGACCACTGTCAATAATAATAATAATAATAATAATAATAATAATAATAATAATAATTTATTATTTGTACCCCGCCCATCTGGCTGAGTTTCCCCAGCCACTCTGGGCGGCTTCCATAGAAACCAAAAATACAGTAAAATATCACAGATTAAAAACTTCCCTGAACAGGGAACACTGTCAACACTTGAACTCTTTAGCTGGTTTGAAATAACTCTTGCAAGGTAACAAAGACTTTGGCGTATGATATGCAGTAGAAAAGGGCAAACAAAGAACCCATGGAAGGAAGTCAAAAGATTCGGAAGAATCTTGTTCATTTGTGTGTGTTTTTATCTATGATTGTGAATGTAAACATTAATTTGTAAAATCCAATAAAATTATATATATATATATACACACACACACACACACACACACACACACACACACACCTCCCCAGTTAAAACAGCAAAACACACAACCAAGCATTAAAACATAAGCTAAAAAATCAAGTAAAAAGTCCTGCTAGTAAAGAATTGGATTTGTACCCCTGGCTTTCTTCCGAAGATCTCAGGGGAGCAGCACAATGTATTTCCGCAATACCTTCCCCCCCCATGGTACATAACCACCATTATATATTCACAACATCCCTGACAGGTAGATTAGGCTAAGTGAGACTGACAGCACAAAGCCTCGCAGTGAACTTCCTGGTCAAGTGGGAATTAGAACCCAGGGCTCCTCGTTTCAGTTTCAGCACACTGCCTGTAACATGTGCCTGATCTCATATATTAAGGTTGTTCTCATATATATTTGGTGGTGGTGCGGTTTCCTTCCAAATTAATATGAGAATGTATTTGGGTGTTATTTGGGAGAGGGAAACATATGATACAGAATCACAGAATTGTAGGGTTGGAGGAGGAGGAGGAGGAGGAGGAGGAGGAGGAGAGTAGTAGTTTGGATTTCATATCCTGCTTTATCACTACCCTAAGGAGTCTCAAAGCGGCTAACATTCTCCTTTCCCTTCCTCCCCCACAACAAACACTCCGTGAGGTGAGTGGGGCTAAGAGTGTGTGACTAGCCCAAGGTCACCCAGCAGCTGCATGTGGAGGAGCGGAGACGTGAACCCGGTTCACCAGATTACAAGTCCACCGCTCTTAACCACTACACCACACTGGTCATCTAGTCCAACTCCCTTGCAATGCAGAAATCACAGCTTTGCAGTATGTATGTACTCTCCATAAATGATTCGAGGCATGCACGTTTTATGTTTGAAGGCAACAAATGGAGTACAGCATTTCAGATAAGAGGAGCTCTTGAAATTTCATTTGCAAAACATCCTAGAGAATATTGTGGGGCTGGGGCTATTACATATTACTGTCGTCTCCAGGCCAGGATGAAAATTCCACACCAATATTGCCTGCCCTGGAGATTCTCCTCTAGACAACCTATTTAGGAGTCTCTGTTTGTTTGCCTTTCTCTCTCTCCTTTCTTTTCTGCAACAACAGGATCGCTTTGAAGCCTGCAGCTGCACCTGACCACCAGATGCTCAGCAGACCAGCAAAGACAGGCCTTCGAGAATCCCTAAATAGTTATGGATCTTGTCCTGAACGGTGGAAAACCACACATTAAAAATTGAAGCTTCGAGTCCTTGCGAACAGCAGCGGGCGATGTGGCAAACCTAGCTCCAGACTGTACCACATCCTTTAGATTGCAGATTGGAGCTAAAGGGGTGGAATGCTCACCGGTCCCTGCTTATAGAAAGCCAGCAGGCTGAGAGATTGTGTGTGTGTGTGTGTGTGTGTGTGTGTGTGTAAAGGCTATGCTAGAACCCTTTGCCCTGACAAGTTCGCTTTTGCATGCATGGAGAATATATTTATTTTTGCATGGAAGAGCATCAAGTGAAACTCTTTGAAGATTGCACACACCATTTGAGAATGTGAGTGAAGGAAATTGTTGCAGCACCTACTCTGCAATGGAAAAAGGTTTCCAGGATGAATCCTGAAACCAGAAGCAGGGAACATTTTTCAGATTGAGGGCCACATTCTCTTATGAGCAGCCTTCCAGGGGCCGCATGCCAGCCTGGGGAGAGTCCAGAGGACCAGGCAGAGGGGCATGAATAGCCGCACTCCATACCCTCCAACATTTCTCCTATGAAAATAGGGACATCCTATTCAATAATAATAATAAGAATAATACTATTTTGTATTTATACCCCGCCCATCTGACTGGGTTGCTCCAGCCACTCTGGGCGGCTTTGAACACATATAAAAACATAGTAAAACATTAAACAATAAAAAAAAATCCCTATACAGTGGTACCTCGGGTTACAGACGCTTTAGGTTACAGATGCTTCAGGTTACAGACTCCGCTAACCCAGAAATAGTACCTCAGGTTAAGAACTTTGCTTCAGGATGAGAACAGAAATCGCGTGGTGGCAGCAGGAGGCCCCATTAGCTAAAGTGGTACCTCAGGTTAAGAACAGTTTCAGGTTAAGAACGGACCTCCAGAACGAATTAAGTTCTTAACCTGAGGTACCACTGTACAGGGCTGCCTTCAGATGTCTTCTAAAGGTTGTATAATTACTTATCTCCTTGGTTCAGGGGTCTCATAATTCCATTCTATTCAATGAAAATAGGGGAGTCCTAAGGGACATTCTGGGATCAAATCAGAACCCCAGGTGGCTTCTGTAAATCTGGACCTATCCCTGGGAAATAGGGACACTTGCGGGGTCTGACATACAGACACCCCACTCTGGGTGTATGCAGTGCTGAGATACATAGGTCAGTGGTCTGAAGGCCACATTCGCACAATAGATTTGAAGCACTATGCTACCACTTTAAACAGCCGTGGAATTCTGGGAACTACTGCTTTTTAAGGGTGCTGAGAATTGTTAGGAGACCCCTAGTCCCTTCCAGGAGACACAGTTCCCAGGGTGGCTTAACCATCGGGAGCTGTGGGAATTGCAACCCTGTGCAGAGCGCAGGGGCAAACGGCAGTTCCCGGAATTCTTCGGGGGGAAAGCTTTGACTTTTTGAAGTGGCATCAAAGCGCTTCAAATGTATGATGCAAACATGACTTCGGTTTCCTGTGTTCCTCTAAAGCCGGAGACTCACAACTGTACAGGGTTAAGGCTCACCGTAAGATCTCCTTTGAAAGCAGCTCTGAAGCCCGGAGCAAACGGCCAGCAATCTCACCGGGGCAGGAGGGGGGGGGGGAGGCCCAACCTAGACTTCCATCGCCTGCTCCTTTTTTCCTTTCCTTTTCCCTCCTCTTCCTACCCCCAAGCAATACGGCTCTGCTTCATATATTTTTCATTCCAACTGAGGGTCCGCAGCAGCAGCTGATGACCTCTGTCACACGCCACTGCTTCCCTCAATGTAAATGCGTCTTGGGCTCGCTTCCTTCCAACCCTGTTCCACCTCTCTCTCTCTCTCTGCCTAGCCAGAGAGGCAAGTGTATTTATTTTATATATTCTCGAACTGGATCTATATATTTTAAACCTGCGGTGGCTCTCAGGAGGCAGCTAAAGATAACAGTGACATTAAACGCTGAGAGCGTTTTGTTAAAGAAAATGGAAAGGGGTAGATATGGAAAAAAATAAAAATAAAACCACGACCACCGGCAGCACAGCACCACCCAACCTCGCTCAAGTATTCAGAAGTCTCCGAGTCAGATAACATCAGTCTAAAAGGACTGCTCTGCTGAGAGCAGGACTTGGAAAGCAGTGCCCACTGCTTCTCCCTGGGAATATTGATTTTTTTTAAGGTTGGAGGGGGTCAAATTCAAATCTCTGGCACAAAAGAGCAGCAGTTTCTCCTCGACACTGTGCCTTTTGACAGAGAACAAAGTCATGAAGTGGGGTGGGTGGGAGGGAGGGAGAGGGAGAGAGAGGAGGGGAAGAACAGAAGATGAAGACAGAAGATTGAGGCTCACATCTCCACACAGGCAGAGAAATGCCGTCCTCTTGGGAGAACTTGCAACCAGGGTCACATCCATGCCATACATTTAAAGCAAGTGCCCTCCCCTCCAAAGAATCCTGCAAAACAGTAGCTTACACCTCACCGAACTATAGTTCCCAGCACCCCAAAGAAATGACAGTTCCCATGTTTATCTGGGGGAAAGCCAGGTGCTCTCAGTGGGCTTCTTTCGTAGAACGTTCAACTAGGGTCACACCCATTAGTATACATATGAAGTGCCTGGCTCCCCCCCCCAGGAATCATGGGAACTGTAGTTTGCCCACCACAAAACGACAATTCCCAACACCCTGAAGAAACTACATTTCCCAGGATTCATTGGGGGAAGACATGGGTCCTACATTACAGAGGGACAGTCAGCCACTAGGAGGGCTGTTTGGTCCGAGAAACAAAACCAGGAACCTTGAAAGTGGCCGGCAATTGTCCGCACCTGAGCAGGGAGGAAGGCTTGCTTCAGTTGTCTATGTTCTGGTCACCTCTAGGCTGGGTTACTGCAATGTGCTGCACACATGGGGCTGCCTCAGCAGTTCAGTGAGTGCAGAAGGTGGCAGTCCGACTTTTAGAAAAGACAGGAAAGTGTGGGGCAGATAATACCAGTTCTGCTCCATCTACACTGGCTGCCCATTAGTGTCTCTGGGCTCAATTCAGTGTGCTGGCATTGACCTTGAAAACTCTGCATGGCTCAGGACCCCA